TGGGCCTTGAAGAGGTTAAACTGTGTGTCCTGGATCACACAGCTAGCAGGGTCAGGACACTGTCTGGACTCACAGCAGGTACTCCTCCACCAGCTGCCTCCCTTCAAAGGAGCAAAGAAACTGCTCTGAAACGCCCGACTGAGTGCCAGCCTGCGGTCATTCCTTACAGCAGGAATTCATGTGAAATTTCAGACTGCGCACAAGGGAATATGTGAACCCCTCTGTGGGGAGTGGACACAGATTTCTAAGGGGTCCGCGACCTCCAGAAGGTTAAGAACCAGTGCCTGGGCATGCTGTCCACTTGTCCGTTCCCCTGTAAGTTCCTGGCGCTCAGGAGGGGGACGTTCTGGCCTCTAGTCCCAGCTTTGGCGTTACTTTTCTGAGGGCCCTTGGCCAAGACACCGTACCTTATGGAGTGCAGATTTCTATTCTCTTTCCCTTGTCCTTGGCTGTTTATTCATTATTACGTTTTGCTTGGCAAGGATTCTTTACCACTGTTTGTATTTTTCCATCATTTTAGTGTATGGATTCTTATTAGAAGCTGCCTCAAATCCTGCAAGGAAGCAGGCAGAGATAAACAGACACAAAGAATAATCATTTTTGCCTAGCCCAGCTTACCTGCCTGGGTCTGTTTCCCACCTGTAAAACGATTCGGTTGGGTCCCATGGATCAGGTGGCCTACATTCCCAGAAGGCTCAAAACACAAGGCTAGGGGACCCGGAGCTGCGCATCCTGCCCTTCGCTCCCCCGCCTCCCTTTTCGGATCGGCGCAGCAGCTGTTTCCTGCAGCCCTCCCCGGCCCCATCCTGCCTGACCCGGCCCCACCGCCGGCGGACTCACCGCGCGCAAGGTGCCTGCCGGCGCTCACGCACGCAGCTCGGCCGCCCGGGCCGCCGCGCAGCGGGGCGACAGGGGCGCGGCGCCGGCTCCCCACACCGGGCGGCTGTGCCAACCGAGGGCGCGGGCGGGCGCGGCTCTGCCCACGCCGCTGCGTGCGTGCGCGCGCCGCGAGGGGGTGGCGGGTCTCCAGCCGTTGTTAATTGTCTTTCTGGAGCCAGGTTGTTTTCCGCTCGCTGCTCCCGGAGCCAGCGCGGCCGGGGAGCGGTGCCCTGGCCGGCGGCCAGCGCGGAGCATTGCGGGCGGGGTTTGCCGCCGCGCCCCGGGACCCTCCCACCTGCGGACTCTAGTTAAGCCGCCTTCTCCTGGCACCCCGAAAACAGGGGCCAGCACTTAGGCCACCCGGTGGGCATGCTGACCCGGTATCACTGGGTATCTGTGCCCCTGCTCCCCTCCCCTAACTTCAGGCTTGGGCCTCGATTTAATTCTGAGTTCTCGCCCAGGCTCCCAGGGGCTCCCCGCACAACCTTAGCAAGTCGGCCACTCTGCTATGGCGTGAAGGTGTTGTCCATTCTCTCACACTATGTGAGGGACACACTGTTCTGGGCACTGAGCATTCAGCAGTTAACACATCAAAGTCCCCGCCCTCTCTGGCTCCTGTCCTGGACGTTGAACACCCATTTGAAAGTGATAATTGCTATGAAACGTATGGAAAGTCTTATCAGGGCAACCAAACCTTGTTTGTGAGGTCCGGAATGAACTAGATGAACTTTTATGATCCTGCCAGTTCTAACTTTTATTCTTATTCTCATTATTAGGGATTATTATTATTTATTATTACTACTGGTAGTAGGAGTATTGCTTACTAAGTGCCAGGTACTAACTAAACATTATACTTACATTGTCTCCTTTATCTCATCCACAACTTCTCTCAGAGGTGGGTATGATTATTATTTTCTTCATTTTAGAGGGAGAAACTAAGCCTCCAGAGATGAAAAGAACTTGCCCATGTCACACAGCTGCTCAGTGGCAGGGCCAATATTCAAATTCAGACTGCATGGGGCCTCAGGGTGCTTAATCACTACTCTGCACCCATAAAATATATAAAGACCAGAATAGCATCGTTATCTTGAATGTGACAGATGAGGACAACTGAAGGAGAGCCGGGTGGTTTAGCCCGTAGAAGAGAAAAGCAAGGGAGGCTGAGAGCTTTTTTAAAAGAGTAGTCCTGTGGATTAGACTTAACCCATCACCAGGATGTGGAAAGCTACAAGGAGACATATTACGATTCAATATGTAAGTGTTCGGAGGTGAGCTGGTCTGTGCAGACCTACCCCCAAGGGCCAAGGAAGCTGAAAGGCCAAAGAAAGAGGCTGACAAATCTAGTTTCTCAGAAAGAAACATTTAATAGGGACTGAGGAACAGAAGCCATGTCTCCGGCAGCAGGGAGACGGGGCAAGATGGTGGATCCCCACGCCATTACCCCCCACACCCAGACCTTGTAGACCATAGGGTAGGAATGTATAGGACAATTGAAGTCAACCGCCCAGGGAAAGGCAGGAATGCTATGTGAATCTGCCTAAGGACAGGATTTAGGGTAACAGTAAAGTTAAAATCTAGAGACATTCCAGCCGGGCGGGCGCGGTGGCTCACGCCTGTAATCCTAGCACTCTGGTAGGCCGAGGTGGGAGGATCGCTCGAGGTCAGGAGTTCAAGATCAGCCTGAGCAAGAGCGAGACCCCGTCTACTAAAAATAGAAAGAAATTAGCTGGACAACTAAAAATATATAGAAAAAATTAGCCGGGCATGGTGGCGCATGCCTGTAGTCCCAGCTCCTCAGGAGGCTGAGGCAGGAGGATGGCTTGAGCCCAGGAATTTGAGGTTGCTGTGAGCTAGGCTAATGCCATGGCACTCTAGCCTGGGCAACAGAGCAAGACTCTGTCTCAAA